GATAGGAAAGAAGGAACAAACCACACCAGAGCACCGCCAACCACTTGCAGTCGAGTTAAAAGTTGATGACATTCTTCTGTCAAAACTGTTGTAAATCACTGCTGCATTCAAGAGTGCTTGATGACAAATTTTGGATGATACTTCATTAATTTGATTAAGTTGAGCTGTGCTTTGCTTTGCATGCTGTCATTTTTTAAATATTTTTTTTTCGTCATCTCTTGGCAAGATTTCTCACAATGTCTAGAAAAGTAGGAAGTTTGTTGTGGTTGCTGTGGTGCAGTGTTGCAGGAAGCTTGCAAAATCTGGGGGTTTTTGCCAGTATTATTTTCTGAAACCTTTGGAGACTGTTGGTATCTTTTATCTTTGGGACTTTGGTAACAACTAACATTTCTGTTGGTAGGGGTTAAGTACACTACTGCAACTATGACTCTTATTACGTTTCAGAGAAGTGTTTGTGGTGTGTTGTTATGATTAGTCTCTTTACTGTTGCATTCAAAAGACCCCAAGTTTGATTCCAGCTTCCAGGGAGATGTGTGTCTATGTCTGTCAACTGGGATGTGTAGAATCCCACTCAGCAGAGGTGGGCGCGGACAGACAGGGCAAAAACAGCCAGCTCCTTCGATGATGTACTTTTTGTCAATTGGGGTGTAAAGTATTTAGAGATTTACCGTAATTTCCTAACTGGCACGTATGAGTATGAGCAATACAGTGGAACTCGGATTCAACGAGGTCGCCGGGCCTGACCTAAAATCTCGTTGAATCGGAGTGTTCGTTATAGCAAACGCAAGGTTTTGTGTAGATAATTACAGGCACTGAGCAAGTAGGCCCTAATGTAAAAAGAGAAGTCTCAAGTAGTGCCTGAAATGCCTGCATATGATGAGCTGTGTAAAAAAAAGACCGATTCGTTCAAATGCACATGCCTGTGTCATCTCGATTGCTCACCAAAAAGCTGATGAGTAGAGCTTAGCATACGGCAACTTTTGATTCCATAGACCAGATCAGTTGCCGAGGGGGGAAAAAAGACTGATGCGTTTGTATCTGCGACGTTCAACACCCGGTCGCTGGTGCCCCCCCCCCGGACACACACACACAGCCACCGTGTGCAAGCCGCCCGGCCCATCCGTCCTCGACACACACCAGGGTAGACATGTGCGTGTGCCAACAACGCATGTGTTGGTATACATGGTATGAAAAAAGGCCTTTGATTGGTCGTATGCAATCGGCTAAGTGAATAATGGTTCACGATGCAGGTGCAATGGATGGTTTCTGGGAATAGATAAAGTTCGTTCTGGGAGAAAAATGGGCGAAGCCACGTCTGCGGGGGCTGTTCACCCTGGAAGCGACCTCATTGAATCCCAGCTCGCTGATTTAAGTGCTCGTTGAATCCGGGTTATTTTTATTGATTTTAAAGAAGAAAAAAGACGGGGAATCTATCTCATCTCGTTGAATCCGAGCTCATTAAATCCAAGTTCCACTGTATTAACTTTAACTGGCTACAAGTAGTTGTTCAGGGTCATTCTACTTCTACCAGGAGGTAGGCCTTATTGTCTCCACACATGGATATATTTCAGTTTTTCTCTGGTTTAGGACCTAGGAAAGGGCTTTTTCAGGACATGATGTGATAGCTTTTTGCATCAAAGATGGGAGGTACTTTAACAATTTGTTTCCTGTTGACCACTCAAGCAATGGGTGTGCACACATCCCACATGGGTGAGAGGCGACATTTGAAGCCTCACACTACACATGACGCGTCATGGTGAAATCAGGCGCTCGTCAAAATACATGTAATGCATCAGCAATTTTTATCGAATTTTTGTTTTTTGACTCAACCCCTTTAAGGTCCATTTAAAAACACATTTTTGTGTCGGTTTTACTGAAAAATATTGGTTTATGGCACAAAAATGTAAATTTGCAGTTTCTAGGGACTCTCAAGCTTTGGAAGTTGCCAAACTTTGGCTACCATTTTCTCTCTAATTTTACATCTAAAACCAGGCCACTCCCACCTCCTTTAATTGCAAATATGTTGATTTCTACTTGAGTATTGTTTTCACCGAAGGTAAGACAAATGAACAAGCTTTAAAAAGATGCCAATAATTCCACCTGTCCAAAAATTGAGAAGCGCCTGATTCCACCGCATCGTGGCACATATCGGTGGCGTCAAATGCAATCCTCTTAAGCCTGTTTTCCTGCTTTTTGTTTTTACACCAGAGACAAAAATCTAGTTTTTGTTTCGTTGTTCCCAATTAGATCATGAAAAGCAAGAAAATTGTAGGCCTTGACCATAGCTTTAAACTGCATTTTGGTGATGCTGAAAGTAGTGAAAGGTACATCTTAAAAGTTTAGGAGGGTGTAAAATGAAATTTATGAATCTTAAAATTTGTACTGTGAATTGATTACGATAGTGACGATAGATTCTAGGAGTAGGGAGTCAACTTTCTTAATAATGCGCTACAAGCAGTTTCTTGGGCTTTCTGTAAGTGATCAAAGTTCTTTCCGCGAGTGCACTGCTTTGAATTTACTGTGTTAGCAAGGGACAAGAGGTGAAATTTTTTTTTGTTCTACAGTGGTAGTTCCAGAGAGGTGTGAAATGTGCCCGTTTCTTGAGAGTAAGATATGATGGCGATGGAGTTGTAATTTGTTCCCTTTTTTTATCGAGGTTGTGGACTTTTTAAGATTTAGGAACTGAACTGTGTCCTGTCTCAGGTATATGCTGATGTTGGAGTTGGAAGGCATTAGTCGCATTATTTCTTTTCTTTTGACTTGTGATGAGGGAAAGGGGGGGGGGTAAGAAAACAAGTATATAAGACGGAAGGGTGTAATGTATTTTTCATTTTTGTGTTCCATTGTCTCTAGTTAATAATCTATGCAGTAGATTCAAGACAGCATTTAGACGGACACACTATTTGACCCCTGAACTTTTGCATGCATATTTTCACAGCAATTAAAAAATATTCTTTATGTCAGTCATGTTTGTACTTGTATCTATTGATTACTTGGAAATGTGGGGCTAAAAATACACCTGGTCTGTTTATTAACCCTTTCCTGTTAACATTGTTTGTCAACAATAGAAGCCCATTTGTGAAACTCTCTTTGCACTCAATGGAAGTGAAAGTTCTGACAAGTAATGCCAGCGCCATCATACTTTCCTCGTTTGAATTTAAATGAGGTTACAGCTTATTAAAGCTAGTGCATCTGTTTAAAAATGATTTTTTTAAAACTGCGTTTCGAAAACAAATGGTGTAGGTTTGGCGAAGTTTGACGCTCGTGTTGCCTTTTTATTCAGCCAGGTTAGACAGGAAAGGGTTATGATCAGTGATTCATAGTATGAGGTCTTAATGACAATCTGTGTGGTAATCGTCTGCCGTGTGGGCTATGAGTGGTTATCGTTTGTGTGAACCATGAGCTTGACGACCCCTCCCTGACATAGTCATGTAAATGTTAACGTGTAACGTTACTTCGTCACATTTGTAAAGTTTGGTACATTTTCATGATTCTCTACTTCTTCTGCTACTGCGTGTGTCTCTGTGTGTGTACATAGCACGATGTGTGTACATTTATTTATAGAGTTCTCCTTTTTTGATGTACTTGTACATATCTAATTTATTGTTCTTGTTTCCTCCCACTGCGATGTCGGTTGATGATTTTTTTGTTCTAATGCTTGAAAATTTAAAACCCACACACAGAAAACAAAATCGAGATGAAATAAATCATTGATAAACAGTATCTTCTGGGTGTCTCTGTTGTTGACATTTTGTTTTTGTATTTATGTGTGCGTTGTGCACTACATCTTTCATTTCTAGAGGCTTGAGAGGGTTATGTCTTACGAGTGGTTGGTGGAGGGTGCCGGTGCCACTGGTAGGTCCTTCTGGGTTTTTTTCCTCCCTTTTTCTCAGAACGAGGAATTCAGATACAGCCTACCTTGGGACATGCATGAAGTTTGCTGTACAATGGGATAACACATATTATCATCTTGACTAGTGGTAGAATAGACTGGTAGAGACAAGAAGCATACATCTAGATCTGCCATCTTGAGTGATTACCATGAGCAGGAGAAAAACATTTAGCAACCAATTACATGTGCAGCTCAAGCTAAACTTTACATATATATATATATATTCAGATTTAAAATTGGTCAGATCAGAAGCTAGATTATAAAGTGTCAAGGATCCTGCAAATGTAGTTTTTTAACCTACTCCTACTTTTGGTCAATTCTCGGGCCACCTAAGACTAAGACAGGTCATGTTGACTTGAGCTTGAGTTTTGAGTCCTCGCAATCAATATAGAAACCTCATGAGCCCCCGCCAGCCTTTTCGCCACCAGACATATTGCTGCAGTTCCTTAAGATTATCCAGGTGACTTAAGAATTTCAGTCCATTTTTATTTTAAAATATCGATCAAAGCCTATAATTGAAAGCATTTTCATAATTGACGACAGTACTACAATTAGGCCAACCTCGCAGAGATGTGTGTGAAAAGAGCAGATACCAAGTGGGTGCCGTGAGTAGTGTGTACCTTTGGTGGCCAGTTCACTGACTGTTTTTTAGTTTTAGTAGAGGTTTTACGGCACTCTCAACAGCATATGGTCTATGAGCGCCAGAAGATTAGAGGTGTTACAGAGAGAGAGTAACAAACATGATGGGAGGTGATAGGGCCACCAGGTTTGAACCATAAAATCAGTGGGAAATTGGCTGCCAAAGTTTGATAATTTAAATAGCTTGAGAGTCTTTGAAACCAATAAGATTACATATTTTGTGTCTTTAATCGTTTTTCAATAAATCCACCACGTGGAAGTACATATTAAAATATGGACACAAAAGGTGTTGAGCCAAAAAACAACAATTCGAAAAAAATTGCCAATTGACAGAAAAATGCTTGTTTCTTCAATTTCACTATTTTGACGAGCGTTGAATGTCCCCACGATGCCTTACATTTCATTTAAAAACATGAGATGATAGCCAGTGGAACAAGAACAGTCCAATATAAAAAGATCTCAAATATCATTTTTTCAAACATTGTATTATTTATTACATCAAAGGATGATTTCATCATGTACAGTAAAAATTGTGAGTGATGAAGGGCAAAATGTTGATCATGAAAAACAGAGGAAAATGATGCAGCATGAAGGGTGATGGGGGAAAAAAAAAAAAAGAAGAAAATCAAGTCAGTCAATAATGAGCTCATCAAGTCCCCAGTCCTCAAAGCTTCCGTCTGGTAAATATCGTCGGATGATGAATGGGACCTTCCTGGCCCTGGGGAAAAACAAGTTACACAAATAAGATGACAAAACGATTGTCATAATTAATAATCATCTTTAGTGCAATACAATGAAACAAAGCTCAGCCTTTTCTTCTTCACTCAATACTATCCTTCTATTTACCACGATGAATTTTCCATATTACAGGTACAAACAGTATATTTGACATGCACACATATTGTACCTGAACAATAATACAGAAATCGTCAGCATAGTAATAGTAGTGCACGAGTACAGAAATATTGTGAGTGGCTAACACTTAAATTTTAGTAACACCAGTATGGACCTGGGGCATAGCCATCGAGCTCAAATTACAAAGTGTAACCTAAATCCGTAGACCTTCCAACCTTTTCACTGCAGTAGTTTGTTTTTCTCTCTCATGTCCTGATTTGGTGACAAATATTAGCAAGTTATGAATAGAATGTGTTAATGTAGTTGTATCTGTTAGAGCTAGCTCGTTCAGAATAATAAAAAGAGACAATAATAACAATAATTTTGACAATGTACACTGAAAAATGATGATGATTCATTGCAGTAGTTAATTTGGAATGTAGACCATCAGAGCCCGATCATAGGCGAACTGGGATCATAAATGGTAGGATCAAAGGCAAAAACAAGTGTATTGCTTAATTCGTTAACTGCCTGCAGCCCCATGTTTGACAGATGATAAAAGAGTACAGTAGTCTCCGCCTAAACGCACGCCATACAAAAGCATGCTCCGCTCAAACGCACGCTTTCGTCATCTGACGGGTTTTTTACTATATAATTTAGACGTACAAACGCACGGTCACTCCCTCTAAATGCACGCTCCGATCCGCGAAACACGCCGACAAGTTAAGCTTGGCAAGGGGAAATTTTCACTATTACCTGCACAGCCTGCATAAGAAAAGCCTAGACTTTACTCGAAAACCGGATATTTGGTGAGAGTGCCCCTCACGCTGTACAAAGAGAGTAATGGACTGCGTTTACACACCCTACTTTCCACTGACGCATAGGTCTCGACCTAGGGCTGGTCGGTTAAATGTTGGGAGGGGGGGGGGGGGTTGGGGGGACTGGAATGTTTTTTGATTGGTCACTGGAAATTTCGGAAATGTATCTTTGAGAGGTTTCTGACTGGTGTTTGAGTGACTGCGTGTAATGTTTAGTTAAATCTAGACCTGATGCACGACACGCGCGAATGCCGTAAAACACTAGACAGGCCTCTATAGGATTTTAAAGATTAGCCAAGTAAGCCTAATCAGCTGTACTCTAAGAATTTATAACGTACTTGTTTAACGAATCACAAGAGAAAATGTTTCTCGGGGATGATTCTGCATGAATTTACAGTCGGGGGTGCTCGCTTGGAAAGCCACATGGCTGGTCCGTCGTCTCTGTGACCATCACCAAAAAGTTTCCTCTTAGGTTATCTGTTCCCGACGTTTACAGTGCATATTCATTACATTGAGTTTGTCTTTCTTCCCCCCCCCCCCCCCCGCCCCATTCAACGCCTTTGTATTCTTAACCCCTGTCGGGGAATCCTTCACAAAAGAGTCACGTGTCGTCACATTATCTGCCAAAATGACCCCCCCCCCCCCTTCCAAGGGAGGTCACTAGAGTAATAAGGCAATGACGTGACTGCGTCCCTTCCTCCCCTTGCTAAGGTTCATGTAAACGCACGCTCCGTGTAAACACGCGCTAAGGAGCCCTCCCGAGCACCGTGCGTTTAGGCGGAGACTACTGTACCAAGAGTACTAAACATCTCCACAGAGACTCAGAGAGTAAATCTGGAGACTCAGGATAAGTGAACATGACATGCCTCATTCCACAGTGCTTGGTCATCACCGGAAGAGATTTATGCTAAAACTCCAAGAATGGTACAAAAGGGGTTAAATAAAAGAGACATTTCTAAATACATACATAGATTATGGACATTGTAGAGATGAAGTCTCAAAGACAGGCTTGAGTAATAGAACAGGAGAGAAAAGAGGAAGAGGACTAGCAAATAATAATGAAATATATTCAAAAAGTGAAACATGTGCCTGGAAACTTACTTGAGCTCTTTCATTGCTATTTTCAGAGGGTCAATTTCTCCGTCGAGTTCCACCATCAGCGGTGCACACATCCTGCAAACAGAAATAGTGCTATATTTTTTTGTATCCAAATAAAAAATTGCAGTTTGATCACTTATAACATACAACACACACAGGAAAACCTTGATAACACAAACTTCACAACACCAGAGAACTTCATGTTGAGCAGTGTTATGAAAAAAAAAGAAAAAAAAAAAAAGGGGGGGGGGAGTAGACTCCTTTCTTACTGTTCACATCAGATGTTAGGCCCTGTGTAAACCTATTGCTTGAGTGTTGTGATGTGTACAGTAGAACACGGCTATAGCAGGACATTCGTTCCAGATGAAAAATCCCCCTGTAGGCAAATTCTTGCTATAGGAAGGCAAAGGGAAAATTACCTAAAAATTTCTAAAAATCCACATGATTATCCGCTCTTCATATCAATAAAATTTGCGCTTTAGATTCCTTTTCTCGTCAGCACTGTTGATTATCTCAGCCTTTAATTCGAGTGAGAAGCATTTCTTTTTCTCTTTGTTGGAAGCCATCTTTTCCTTGTGCTGTCTATCGTACCGGTAGGCCTACTGTAGAACTGGTGAAGTGGATGCATGCATTTGCCTATGAGCATCAACAATCACAATTCAATGAATCAGGAATCACACACTAGACACTCTCCTCTTTCTTTTACCTTTTGGCGTAGCCCAGGCCTGGGGCTATGGCCTATACGCTCTCATATTGAGCGTCTAAGCTACTGCACATAACTATTCGAGTGGCTCACGTAACTCGTCTCCGCACCACCTCTCTCTGCCGCATGCCCCACCTCACTCATCACTGGACTGGCCAATCACAAAGCCGCACCGCTGACTGCCTGTTTGAAGCCTGCCTACAGCTCCCCCCCAAACCCTCAGCAAGAGCTCACTCGATCTCACCCGCTGTACCTGAGTTCGGGGCCTTCCCCTGCCCTGCTAAACCTGAGCACAGAATGAATTTACATAGAAAAAAAAAGGGGGGGGGGGGGATACCGATTAGGTCCGACTATAGTCATGCATGTTATACTGTAATCGGTGCTTCCACAAGCCGAAGCTGAAAAGTAAGGAAATTTCTGCAGGGGGTCTGGGGGCCTATTAGTGCTTTTAGAGGGTTGAAAATGGCATTTGGGAGCCTGTTTGAAGAGATTGCCTGCAAACCATAACATTTACTTTTTCACCTATATTTTGTCTTGTTTGATTTCTCCACCAAGATCTACATAATATATTTCCATTGATGGCAGTTTAAAAGCAGGTTCCCCTTCCATTGCTACTATAATTCAATTAATTTGTCATCGCACCATTGATAGAAGGCAAAACTGGAAATAATGAAAAGATAATGTACCTTCACAATACAGTTACAAGGCGTAAACCCTAATTTTCCTTATATTTCACGCCTGAATGTCGCATGTCACAACCTTGGAACACCACTTCGAATTATTCTTGACTTTAGTAGTTTTAGGCTCGTTTTAGCATAAACTTCTTTCATCGCGTTCCCGTGCCGTAGAACCTTCTTATTGATCATTTCTCTACAACTAGACAAATTTGTAAAAACTTTATTTCTGACAGTAATTTTCTGTCTAAGAGCACAAGTCAATTTACTTGATCAAAGTGCAGATTTTCCTGCAGTGGCAACAATCCGAAGTCTATAGACAGACGGAATGAGAGAATGATAGAATTGAGGAAACTGGCACAAAAAGTTTGCCAAGTTTTGATCAATCCACAGGTTAAAGAAATGTACGGCCGACAAGCCCAAAAAGAATGCATGGGGCATAGTGGAATAATGGCCAATTGCAGGAAATGCGCAATCTGGCAAGTTTCTATAACATTAACCTATTGTCGAGAGAATTACCGTAAATCCGTAACTTATACTAGTATTATTAGACGATACGAAGGCAAGTACAGATCTTTCGCTACGGAATAACGGTAGTCCTACACTGTCGCAGCTTTTAAAGGAACTGGAAGAAAGTACAGATTTCCGTAAAAATACGGAAGAGTGGAAGCACTGTGTAGTGACAACGGGGAGTAAGCTACCTGCTGTGAGCGAGGGGGGAAAAAAGGGAAAGGGGGGGGTCAGCCAGGAGCAATGATAAAATGTCCCAAAATTTGTTCCTATAAACCAGATTTGCTGGAATCCTTTTTATAATTTTAAGGGAAGATGCAATGTACCAAAATAAGACAACCCCCCTAAAAAAAACCCACATTCGAAACCTTTTTGTGTTAACACAAATTTTGCTTTGAACAGCTTCCGGCTAAACAAAAATCTATTGCATTTTTAGCGCTACTGGTTGTATATCAAACACACATCCACATATCTTTTTAATGATTTTAAAGATGAAAACAATTTTGAATTCAGTATTTGTGGCAACAGTTACCACTCAGTGCCTGCAATTACCATGATAAATCAGGACATTTGGCAGAAATTAGTAATTCAGTAATACTTCTGAATTGGACCAGCTTCAAAATGATAAAGCACAACTGATCTTCGGTGCATTCTCGTACCGTTACTGTACACACACACACAGGTTTCTTTCATTATTTGAGTACATTTTACAATTGCCTCTATTGACCTAGCCCACCACATGACATACAACATATATATATGGGGGACCTCGTGGCCTTGAGGTTAAGGTGTGTTCGCCTCTCATTCAAAGGTCCAGAGTTCGAATCCGGGTAGCGGCGGGGAAATTTTCCTTAAAAGTGTCTCCTTTCATCGCCTTTCCTGCTCTCTAGCAATGTTCTATCGTCTGCTTTCGTCTCCACTTTCTGTCCCCACCCCCTCCTCTGGGTTCCTGACTCTTTCTACAGCCTTTCTACTGCTGCTCCTTTGCTCCTTCTTACAGCTGTCTTTCAGCCTGATCTTCTGGTAGGAAAGATCTACACCTAGCCTTCTCGGACATGGGCGAAAAATCTCCGATGTCCTGTGAGCAAGTTGTGCACATTAAAGATCCCTTGGTTATCTAAAATCGATAGGAGTAGGCTTTTGCTGCCACCTGCGCAAAATTAAAATTTTCCTATCAACTGAAAATGTTTAATGTGTCCTATGCACTCATTTGATTTTTTGCAGTTGCGAGTGCCATAAAGGAAAAAAAAAACCCACCAAGAAACATAGCCAGTCACCAATGAGACGACACATGAAACAAAAGACATTACAAACTTACGCTATCTGCAGTGCCCGCGTCCCCAGGACACGGGCTCTCTCGTACTTGGTCATGTATCTTGTTGTGATTCTCTTCTGAGGCTCCACCTGTCCATTAGCTCCGTCAGTAATCACTTCAATCCTTTCACCCTGGAAGACACAATGAGTGCAAATAAAAAATATGCAGGCTGAATCACAAGTAAACCCTGTTTATCCTGAGTAAATCCATCTATTAAAACCACTGTTTTACACTAAGCATCCTGAATTTACTCAAATGGTAACAATAAAATTTCAGCTGATGGTGAGGGAAGTTGTGTTATTCATCATATAACCAAAAAGCCCTACCCACAACACATACACATTTATAATAAGTAATATGAGAGGTCACTGTTTAGGCCTACCCAGTTCGTAAACCCAGTCCATAACAATGATGTCAACACAAACTCGCAACAGAGTGTTGCTCATTCGCCGAGTGGTGGCGACCCATTTGTTTGCTTTACTATGACATTTGGTCTTCCTTGTCTAACACATTTATTTTGTTTTAACCTTGCATGAAACCATTATAAAAAAAATAAATAAAACAAAAAACAAAAACTTCCACAATTAATCTTACTTAGGGTTATGGCAGTCCTAACACTGCGATGACCTCCAGTTGGAACCTCAGTAAGAAAATTATGTTGGTTTTTTTTCTTCATTTCAATCAGTCCTGCGCATGACAGCCACCTGTCATACACTGCCCCTTTTCTCCTCCAAAATGCGTGGCTGTCTTATACAGGTTCAACTGTAATGTGTTTCTTTTTCCATAATTTGTTCTCTTACAACTGTCTACCCCTTTCAAAGAAAATGACTGAAACCCTTTAAAACTTAAAGTTTTAAGAGCAGGTAAATTACCTCAAGAGTATTGCAAAATTGTATTTTTATGTGACTGTATGCTACCCTCCATACAGAAACTATAAACGTAACAAATCCATGAGAAGTTTCCTTACCTGTTCATTGCCAATTGGTTCATCCAGAGGCTCGTCGTCTTCCACATCAGGTCCGTCATCAAAGCTGAAAAAAAAGCAGTCCTTTGAGGTTAATCAAAATACTACTTAGTGCATCTCAGAAAAATAATAAATCACAGACATTTTCAGAGTAAGAAAAAAGTCTTTTCATTGACTTGGGGGTCTACTTGTACTTCTTCTGCCAAGTGAGTGTGATTGAATATAATGTCCGAGATAAAATCCCAGTGTCGATGCGGAAAAAATTGGTCACCTTAGACTTCGATAGGTGGTCCTCTTTGACAGTCTCATAAAAACAAAAGAAAGAACATAGGAAAAAAAGGGAAGCTGGAAATGGTTGTTTATAAAGGAGACTATGCTGGCCTAATGGTCATTAGAGCACATTTGACTGTTTTTGTGTTTTCTTTTAACACACTTGTAGTACCGCAGGCCGTAGTAAGTGCTCACTACCGCTGGCCACTTAAGTAGCTGACGCGACCAGGCACACTAAACATAATTAAACAACGAACAGATGCACTGCACTGAAGTAAATACAAAAATAAGTCACTCTATATGATAGCTGAATGGTTGAAAAAGCTCTTTGAATTTTAAAGCGTGTTTTTTTTAATTTAATAAAAATTCTACCACAGCTTCAGCGTTCTAAACTGGTGTGGTTCTTGAGGGTTTTTGACTATAGATACAAGAGCCTTCGGTACTGTAAGGGTTTAAAAAAAAGCAAGTAATGGTAGCCTCATAGCTGCCACTCAGAAATTTATAAAAAGGAGGAAATTCGCGCGAAGGCGTACGCGCGCTCTCCGAAACCAGTGAGATCCAGAGGCAATATATACTGGAAAATCTAGCCTACGGTTTTGGAAGGGAAAGCTGTCATATTGTTAACCATAGGCAACTGAATTAAAATGTATTTGAAAAAACCCCCCCAAAAAAAACAAAAACATAAAGGCAGTAAGTTGACTTACAAGCATTCGAGTCAATTTGACAGTTTGGACTTGGTGA